GTGAGTTTTCTCCAAAAAATCAGTTAAAAAGAAAGTTCAATCATAGACACCAGATAATTGGCAAAATGTCAGAAAAGCCTCTTCCAACAAAATGAAAAAAAAATAAAATAAAGTGTCAGCTTAGCCGTACCCTAAGTTACACCACTTTATGCAGATATTATTCAATTTGACTTAAAGCAGATTCCCCCCCACGCCGTGTGAATGGGAGAGTTGCATAACAGAAGCTTTGCAAATTCAATCACCTGAGAGCATCAGTGTAGACCAGCCCATGATGGAACAGTCTTTGTAGATACTTCACTCCCGAACTTCCATGTAATTCCATGCACTGTAAATACAACATTTTTAAATGACCATATGTTTTTGCTACTACTGTTTTATTTTCCACATTCAGAATGAAAAATTAGCATATTTTCTTTAGAGCGCAGGAATTGTGTGAAACAGCAAAAACAAAAACAAAACAAAAAAACCCACTTCTGGTATGTGTATTAAGATGAGGGCCTAAAACATACGACCACGCAGCACAGGCCTGGCTTGAGGCTTGAGGCCTTGTTAACAATGGGCAAAACATGGTTAACAGAGAGCAGAGCTAAGCTGTGAGCAAGAGGCAGGCCCCAGCTCACAGAACTTGGCACGAACAGGGCTGAGAGCATGAAACACTAATTGGTGCTAGGTACCGACTGCAAAACAATAATTGGTACTGGTCATAAGTGGAAAGCACATGGTAATACTGGCTCATTTAAAAAGATCTTGGTACCCACTCCTGAGAGATACAGACTCAGGTTCCAGAAAGGGTCTAAAATGACTGATGAATAGAGATGGTCTAAACATACCACAAGGTACAGGGTGATGGGTGGTATCTAAGTAGCATCAGAGGGTGGTAACCTGACAACTTCAGAGGGTACCAACCTGATACACCAGCAATAAGCTTTGACTTGTTTTACCTGTAGATAACGTGGTCTCTTCGGAGAGAGGAGGGGGACAGCCTTTGAATGACATAGCGGCACTGGGACCTCTCACTGATTGAGTCAATCCATTGTGGCAAATATTTTCTGAAGTGGTTCAGTTCAGTTGTCTACTGACAGCTATGACTGTAATTTGCTCTACAATAAACCAGCCTTGTCGCCTTCGATTCTTATCTGGTTTGCCCTCTTTGGGGGCTCTCTTGGGGTCTGCTGCGGAGACGAAGTGCACAAGTCCACACCGGCCACATCACCTAGAACACACACAAGTAGCCCTCTGTTTGTAATCGTAAATGAAGCCAAAGACCTGTGAGGACACCTCGGGAATAAACCTTAACCAGCCCTCCCTGAAAAACTACAGTACGTACAAAGTGAAATTGTCTCTTCTCATTCCACCTATTTGGAAGCAGTATATATCAAAGTATTCACTAATTCAGTGCCCAGATGGAAAAATAGAAAAAAATGGATCTTAAATTCTTTCTGCCCATGGCATCAACACCATCTAAAGCAGGGGTTGGCATCCTTGTCAAACCAAAAGCCCAAATACATCAAAATTTAGAGCAAGAGGTCAACAAAGAGCCATATAAGAATGCCCATTTGCATGACTGAAAATATACAACTTAATATTATTGATTGTTAACATAAATAATTAGAGCATAACTGCAACATTGTACTCACTGACTTTATTTAATGGGACTTCTGCTGCTGTATCTTTTTGCACATTTCTTTGAAGTTTACATCATAACAGATCAAATCAAACAACATGTGTGCATTCAAGCTGTCTTGTATGAGGCCCGGGGCTGTCTGGAGCATGGATACTGCTGGGGTGTCAGATGGGTTTTGCTCGTGAGGCTTCTGCGAGGGAGGTCAGGGGCCCCGGGCAGGAGGTTCAGGTGTATGATGGACTCAGGGTTGGTGTGTGCAGTGAGGCAGGAGTGTTATGATGCTTTGAAAGGAGCCTGACTTTGAGCAATTCTCCCAGATCGGACGCCCTCAGCGGTGCCCAGACTTGGCCCAGTCCATCTCAATGGGGAATTTTGACCAGGGAGTGTTAAATTAAATGTCCAACACAAAAGGTTTCAACATTGTCTTGATTTATGGTAGGAACAGGGAACCTTTTTTGGTTTGGTGCCCTCTGACCCTAGAAAAGTCAGTCGGGGACCACACAAGTAAGAATCTAAAACAACCCCTCCAAAAAAAAACCCCCACTCCTCAATGATGTGCCCACCAACTGTATCACCTCACTCCCCTGAAGCTCCAGATCCATAGCGGGGGGTGGGGCAGGGAGGACTGAGGTTCAAAGTCTCGGCCCAGATTTACTCTTCTAGGGTTCTGGGGTTAGTGGATATTGTGGGGCTCCAGTGTGGGCAGGGTGGGCCAGTGAGGCGTCAGCAACAGTGCCGGCTCCCTTCTCCGGGGGGAGCAAGGGAACGGCTGAGCTGGGCCTCCCTAGAGAGCCATAGGATGCCGGCCCTGGCAGCAAGAAACACTCAACATCTATAAAAAGGTACCATAAAAAAAATTGCATAGCACAGGCAGTGCGAGAAATGCTTTTCTTCTTGGCTAAGAAAATCTGCAGCATTTTAGGGGCAATCGCAGTGGAATAGCAAAGATCACAGAAAGGCTCACTCCCCTGGATTTGGAAGGGAGCTTGGGACAGAGGGGATTTTGGCCAGGGAATTGGAGGTGTCTGGGCAGGGGGTAGGCGATTTAGCCCAGGACGCCGGGGGCAGGAGGTGTCTGGTCAGCAGGCTGAGGTTAGGGTGGGATTTTGGCCTGGGGTTTCTGGCCAGGATAGTGGGGACATGGGTGTCACGTTACTGGATTTTAAGGGGAGCAGTCAGATCACTGCTGCACCCATGAGGGGTGGGGAGGTCTGCCCCAAAAGTTGGTACAAAGGGGGCAATGTGAGGTGTCAAATGAAAGCTTGTCTTCTACTGATTCTATATATGCTAGTCATGTAATTGTATAATGTTTGTGTGAGAAGTTATAAGCATGTACTCTGAGTGGATACTGAATGTTTCTGCTGGGGTGTCAGATGGGTTTTGCTCGTGAGGCTTCTGGCTGGCCAGTCAGGCAGCAGAAGTGCTCTGTGGGTCTGTTTTGTGGCCTATTTGGGAAGCGCTGCCAGTCAGGGGGCTGAAAGGAGCCTGACTTTGGGCAATTCTCCCAGAACGGATGCTCTCAGCGGTGCCCAGACCTGGCCCAGTCCATCACAATGGGGAATTTTGACCAGGGAGTGTTGGGCCAAGTGGATGGGATTGGCCATAGTGTGAGTGAGGGGGTGACGGGGTCTGGATATGAGTGGGTGGGGGCCACTGATTGGATTTTGCACCACATAGCAGGCACCATGTAACAAGCCTCCCGCTGCTCGCATCCCCCAGAAGCCTCCTGTGAAGTGTTCCCCACAAGTTCCCCCGGCCTCCAGCTCCTCCACACTCCAGTCTGGGCAGGGTGGGCCAGTAAGGCGTCAGCAACAGTGCCGGTTCCCTGCTCCAGAGGGAGCAAGGGAACGGCTGAGCTGGGCCTCCCTAGAGAGCCATAGGATGCCGACCTGCCCCAAAAGTTGGTACAAAGGGGGCAATGCGAGGTGTCAAATGAAAGCTTGTCTTCTACTGATTCTATATATGCTAGTCATGTAATTGTATAATGTTTGTGTGAGAAGTTATAAGCATGTACTCTGAGTGGATACTGAATGTTTCTGCTGGGGGGTCAGATGGGTTTTGCTCGTGAGGCTTCTGAGTGTCCAGTCAGGCAGCAGAAGAGCTCTGTGAGTCTGTTTTGTGGCCTATTTGGGAAGCGCTGCCAGTCAGGGGGCTGAAAGGAGCCTGACTTTGGGCAATTCTCCCAGAACGGATGCTCTCAGCGGTGCCCAGACCTGGCCCAGTCCATCACAATGGGGAATTTTGACCAGGGAGTGTTGGGCCAAGTGGATGGGAGCAGACTATCTGGCCATAGAGTGAGTGAGGGGTGATGGGGTCTGGACATGAGTGGGTGGGGGCCACTTATTGGTTTTTGCACCACATGGCAGGCACTGTGTAACACGCCTCCCGCTGCTCCCTGTATGCTCCAGGCAAGCAAAAATGGATGTTACAAGGGGGTTCCTGTCTGGCTACAGCAGGGTGGGCCAGTAAGGCGTCAGCAGTAGTGCCGGTTCTCTGCTCCGGAGGGAGCAAGGGAACGGCTGAGCTGGGCCTCCCTAGAGAGCCATAGGATGCCGACCCCCGATCTGAAGGCAATGAAGAGGCACATTGTTCTTTGGGAGAATTCTGGCTGAAAGGCACCAGCCTGCAAGGCTGGAAAAGCAGGTGGTGAGACAAATCTTTGTTTTGAATTCATTTAGGCTCTTCAGCGAGGAGTTACTGAAGTTTTACCTTTCTATTCTTTGTAACTAATTCTGATCTCTATGTCTCATTATTGGTAATCACTGAAAATCTTTCTCTCTGCAGTCAAAAATGGGATTGATTGTTTCATAAATGACGCCACTGTGTTTATAGTTAGAAACCTCCACTTCAGCAGTAGATTTGCACCTGTTATTTTCTGTCAACAACATGACAGACTTTATATGAGCTGGTGTTGTCCAGGAGGGTGCTTGACAATACAGGGACTGTGACATACTGGGGATTTTGTCTACTCTTGTAGCCACTCTGGTTTTGAAATTCACAGGTTGCTTTCTTGTGCT